GGTAAAATCAAAGACAACAAATAAACTGTTTCAAAGAGCACCGACTGATTAGAAGAAAAGAGTGGAAGAGCAGATGTTATCATAGGTCACTTAGTGTACTCCATTTAAAAGTTACTAATTACAAGAAAACTTCCAAAAAAAGATCTTCATCACAGTTCCCTATTAAAACACTATTTTTCGACATTACAAAAAAACAAAGTGTAAAATTTCAACTACGTGAAAGAAATGCAGGATATCGCTGCGAAGCAAGCTGAAAGTACCATCTGGCAGGGTAAATTGCTCGCTATGTTGGTAGCTAGTGAACGTTGAGCATTAGTGGGGAAAAAGGACTTGGTCGAACTTTGAAAAGATGAGGGGTTTGCGTAATATTAGATACAAGCCAGTTACTCATGCAATGCGCTCCTCAGTGGTATCGCTGTTCGATGTCAAAATTTCGGATGATTTAATTTTCGAAAAAATTTTGCTCGCGTTAACACGTATATCTAATATATGATCAAAACCGAAAGTTATCATAATTCTCTATGAGGGGAAAAAATGATTTTTCTGCAGTTTCTTTCAATTCGCCAGCATAAATCCTAAAACCTGTGTGAAGCCGGAAAGACGCCAAGAAAGTGAGATTTTTTGGAAAGTTATTAGCGATAAAATTATAGTAATGCCATCAAAGCGCTGCGAACGTTTCGCTGTGTATTCTGCATGTAGTTCCATCGTTCCAGGTCGTGCAGTGCGCGTCGCCGTCTTGACAGTGAGCCCTGCCCTTTTGCTTTTTCGCCGTCCACAGATCGCTTCTTCTTCTTTCCGCAGCAGCAGCAGCTAAAATTATTGAATGTAGCAGCCATACAGAGAGTGTATTTTCTGACTTGAGGATTCACGACTACTCGAAAAAGTAGAAGTGTCGTACCAGCAGCAGCAACAGCAGCAGCATCCACAGCAACTGCGTTTTGAACGAGCCAGTGCGGTGATGTTGCCCATTCCCATGGTTTCGTTGAGCGGGGTAAATTCAGTGCTCTCAATCATCGGATCGTCCATCAGAAACGGATCGTACTTGCTCATTGGGATAGCGTAGCAGACTGCGGCCACTACTGCTAGCAGTACCAGTATCTGGTACAGCAGCGCTGATGAAGAGATTCGCACTGCGAACATCTTCAGCACTGAAAGCGTGTGCTGGAATTCGAAACTTAATCATCTTCGTCTATAACCTCATTCAAATTTCCAAGCGTGGCTTTTTAGCCAATCTGCGGTCAGTGAAGCATGGCTTTTTAGCCAATCTTCGATCAGTGATACGCGGAGTAAGCACTTACTAAACTGAAATATTAAAAGTTCTCGTCTTTGATCCCGAATCTTTTCACTGCATAACGTTATTAGTACATCTGGCAAATATGTCTCTTCAAAATAGTATATCGTAAAAAAAAATAAGTTTTGAGTGAAAAGACTTTTTTTTTCTTCTACCCCTCTACACCTCCGTTCTCTCAAGATTCATGCATGCCTATTTGAGGAAATAACCAACGGTTGGGTTTACTAAGTAGTATTTTAACAGCCAAGTGATGCGTTAGTGCTTCTCAGAGAGCGGGATATTGTGTCATCCCCGTGTGATCAAAAAAAAAAAAAAGAAAACGAAAGAACAAAAGAACTAAATAATCAGTGAAATGCAATCAGATTCAAGTGTCAGTAGGAAAATGATGAATGAAATGATCTAAGGCATAACTAAGATAGAAAAATGACTACTAGAAGTTTTTGAAAAAGCTTGTTTCAATGAAAGCGCCAATATGATTTTTCAAATGCGGTTCTCTTGTATTCAGACGTTTTGTATTTGGAGAAAATATGAAAAAAAAATAAAAGGAAAAAATGCGCATATTTAAAATAAAACCTGCTAAATTTGGACCAGCGACTTACATGAAAGATTGTTTTCTTTCAATGAAGTAATGACCTAAAATTTTTCAGTTAAGATTTATATTTTCAAGTAGGCTAATTTTTGCCGTACAGAATAAAATTCCAAAAAGTCCTACTCCTTTGAGCATTTTTTTGAACAGAAAAAGTGATGGGGAAATAAGGAAGCCCAGTTCAGTTTAATAAGATACCATGATTTTCGGGAAACTAGGACACAGAAAACTGAGTGTCTAAAAGACAGTTATGATAAAGTAAGAAAATCCAAGACGTCAAAGGTTGATATCAATCTGGTAGCAGAACTGGGAGCGCAACTGCGCTTTGTGTCGTTTGGTTTCCCGGAAAACAAGCGAACCGCGAGTTTTCACTCGTTTATAAATGAACTGCTTTGGGAGTACTGTGTGTATGTGCGTATGCGTTGTAAAGTTTGAAATTTTTGATTTTTAATTTCCCGTAAGTTCATTACATAGTGGTTATTGTTGTAAACAAGAGAAGTGCGCTAACTAGCAGCCAACAACGTGCACTGCGCCCCTCACCCGCAACTTACCGAACAAGTTTCATCATTTTATTTACACTTTGTATTCCACCATCCAGCATTTCATACTCTTCGAAAAAGCAAACATTTTCCTGAAAAGTTTGCTTCA